TAAATGTGTGTGTATGTGTAAATACTATTATATCTATATATAAAAATAAATATATAAACTTTAATAACCTTACATACAATTGAATATTCATTTTAATATTCATATTCAATTTTAATGCTTTTCCGCCAAACTTAAAATTATCCGCGCCCGTCACACGCATATATGTGCATACATGTATATATATGTATATCAATAAATATTAACAAACACACACAAACACACACAGACCATATATATATACAATAGAATTCGATCGCATGAGCGGTATTACAAATAGGAGATGACTATTCTTAAAAGTTAAGACCCTATACATTGAATCATGGCATATATATGGTTAAAGACATTGTCAACTTGTAATGCACATGCAAATAATATGTACATATGTGTATATATATTGTATATGTGTGTATATATATATATATATATTGTATAGGTAAGGCATATAAATATGTGTATTTATTTGTATATATATGTGCATACATATATACAGATTTTAATACACACACATATATAAACATATATATAATATAAACATTTACACATAAATACACACACACACACACACACGCACGCACACATAAATACACACACACGCACGCACGCGCGCATAAATGTATGTATTATACACACATGTATTATACATATATTTATGATACTTTAACGAGACCGAAGACAACTGCGCTGAAATGTTTCATTATAAAGTCGGTTGTTTTTCTCTTTGCAATGTTCATTTTCACATTTTAGAAACTAAACGTAAGCGAGTACGTCTCTATAATGTATAAGTACATATAAATAAAATATACACCTATATATCTATATATATATTACTATATAAATAATATATATATATATATATCTAATATGATATATTATATATGAATTTATATAATGATATAGGATGCATAATTAGTTTTAATAATTGAAATGCGCGGGCGATCCTGAGTTCTTCTTCTCGGCTAATAATAATAATAATAATAATAATAATAATAATAATAATAATAATAATAATAATAATAATAAAATAATAATTATATATATAAGTACATAATTTCATATTTAGATTTTTGTTTTAGAAGATTGTTTTTGGAGGGTTATATCACCGCTTAATTCTTTAATAATTTCATAATTTAATCATAGTCTACCTGTTTTTAAGACACAAATTTTAACAAACAATAACCACAACAACAACAACTACTACTACTAAAACTGCTACTGCTGGAACATCTACGTTAATAACAGTAATAACAAAAATAATAATAACAATAATAATAACAACGACAATGATAACATTGATTAAAGATGTAGTGAGTATAACATTTGGCAAATGTTAAAATATTCATCGGGATGGTATTATTTAACAATTTCGTTTGTCCAGTTAGACTTGAAACGTCAGGAACAACAACAAGAGCAAAGCAACGACGACAACAACAACAAAGTAGAAATAATGGTAATAACAACAACAAAAATAAACAAATGAGTAACAGCAAGCAACGTCAATAACAACGTCACGAAACCAACAAAAATAGCCACATTTATAACACGAAAATTACCCAGAGAAAACATCAACACCATCAACAACAACATCAACAACAAAAACATCAACATAAACAATAACATTAACAACATAACAGCTACAACATTAATAAGACCATAACACCAATAGCAACTACATCAACAACTGTAACATCAACAATATCAATCAGAATGAGACAGCTTAGTTGATTTTGCCAACATGTAAATGCTGACACTAACTACATCAAAAAGGTGACTGATTTTTTGGTTAACAATTTTTAATGATTTCTTTACTGTCATCAACACCGATCGTCCAAGCTTTGATTATTATTACAGTTGTGAGAGGAGTATTATCATTTAGACATCACTAATTGATTAGTTTTAATCGTCGTCGTTTGAAAATTTCAAATCGTGTTTGTATATCACCATGGATGTCATCATCTTCATCATCGTCACCATCATCATCGACATCATCATCATTATATCATCATTATCATCATCATCATCATCTGTATCATCATCATCATCATTTTAATAAATACCGTTAATATGATCATCGTCATCATAGACATCACATCATCATCATAGACATCACATCATCATCATCACTATCATCATCATCTTTATCATCATCATCATCGACTTCATCATCATCATTTCTGATACTGCACGTACAACAATCGCTTCATCTCAAACCAGATGAGATTCACTCAAACACACACACACACACACACACATAAATACACACAAACACACACACACATAATACAAACATGGCACATCCGCAGCACACACACACATACATACACGCACACACCAAACAAAACTCATTTCACATGCACATAAAACAGCAAAAAAACCTACTCCAAATGCCAAATATGAAAATACGTGAGCACGCACGTAAAAAAATATACAAAAAGCGATCAGACGCAAAAACGCATACAAATTGACACCATGAAACACGCGAAAACAGTTAAACACATTTGTATACAACATGTCAAAATACATACACACATATAAACACACATACACACGCACACACACGCATACATACGAACGAACGAACGAACGAACAAACGAACGAACGAACGATCTCTTCGTGAATGACGTCATTAACATTCACGCGATTCAGTAGCAGACGACAAAGATAACGCACTCAGCAGCCTGACTAACAAACTTAACTTACGTTAAAATGCATTTCTCTACTAAACCAATATCAGCCTAACGGAGGGTTAGTCATCAAGTCAAATAAACGCTGGTAGTAGTAGTAGCAGTAGTAGTAGTAGTAGTAGTAGTAGTAGTAGTGGTAGTAGTGGTAGTGTAGTAGTGTAGTAGTAGTAGTAATAGTAATAGTAGTAGTAAAAGAAATAATAATAATAATAATAATTATAATAATTATTAACAAGAACAAAGGATGAATTATGATAAATGCGTATGCTTATTTGTTTTTTCTTGCAAATTATTTTTTCAAATTGTTCATAATCTTTCTTTTCTGGGGCAAATAATCTAAATGAAAAAAGACAAAAGTAAAATGAGGATTTTTTTTGGAAAAGTAAAAATAACAAAAAATAGTATCAGTAGTTAGAAGAATAAGAAGAATAATAACCCTCCATCTCTTATCTTAAAATTCATTGCAGAGGGTTCGATTGAATTGTACGTAAAGCTGATTTTATTTCATTTTTCGTCCTAGCCATTCATGTTATTATCTCATTTTCACATAGATTTTAAGTTTTGAATAAAAAATATTGTTATTTTTATTGCTACTACTAGCATATACAAAAGTCTGTATTCAGAATGTATATCTATTCAGAATTTTGTATGTAGATTGTATATTGATACAAGAGTTTATGTTTTTATTAAAAATTTATATATTAATTGTATATTGTTAAGACTTAAGACCAAGATAGAATTGTATGTTGATACACGAGTTTGTATATGGATTGTATATTTATACATTAGTTTGTATATTTTGTATTTTTGTTTTGTTTATTGCTCTATAGCATGAGGCGTATTGACCCTGACTACACTTTGAAGATTTAGTTTAGAGTCCAGTTGAACATTTTATTTTTATTATTTTTGTATGTGTTTTTGTTGTTTGTTGTTGTTGTTTGTTGTTGTTGTTGTTGTTGTTACTGTTGTTGTTTGTTGTTGTTGTTGTATGTTGTTGTTTGCACTGTTACATTGTTTGAATTGTTTAAACTAAATTTAAAAATTTTTTTTATAAACACACACATTTACAAATAATTACACATATATATACATATACATATCTTACAATTCTCATTTTTTGAATATAGGATATTTCAGAGTTATCAACTGCGCATCACACGCGCACACATGCACACACACACAACACATCATCATCATCATCACCGTCATCATCATCATCATTTTAACAGCTTCAACATCTTATAAATATTGTGAGAAGAGAGTGATGATGATGATGAAAAACGTCATCATCATTAAATGGCTTCGTCTCATTGCTTATGTCACTTTCCATCTGACTATCCATACATCAGCACTGAGTTAGTATGATGGTATGGATGATTATGATGATGATATGGACGATGATGATGATAGTAAGGATGATGATGATGGCAATGATGATGATGATGATAGTAATGATGGCAATGATGATGATGATGATCGTTATTATCGTTACAGAGGTGACTGCAAATGGCTAATGTAAGTAACAGTTACGGTCTCGATAATGTTAACATAAGTGATCACCATATTTATTACATTTATCATCGTCGTCATCATCACAGTTAACATCGTCACCATCATTACCATCATCCCCATCGTCATCATTATCAACATCGTTAACCTTCTCATCATCTTCATCATCATTTTTATTTTCATCATTATCATCATCTTCATTTTCATCATTTTCATCATCATCACCATTATCGCCATCATCATCATCATCATCACTACAGCCTGCCTACCCGAATACGTCCCATGTTTGGATGGTTACTTTTGCATTTCTAACAAGTGGTTATGTGATGGATGGATGGACTGCTACGATGATAGTGATGAAAAAAATTGCGGTTTGTATGTTCGTTTGTTTGTTTGTTCTTTTGTTTGTATGTTTGTACGTGTGTATTTTTGTATGTATGTATGTATGTATGTATGTATGTATGTATGTATGTATGTATGTATGTATGTATGTATGTATGTATGTATGTATGTATGTATGTATGTATGTATGTATGTATGTATGTATGTATGTATGTATGTATGTATGTATGTATGTATGTATGTATGTATGTATGTATGTATGTATGTATGTATGTATGTATTAAGACATTTTTTTGAGTTTTTTCGCTATTGTTGTTGTTATACTGTCGTTATTAGTTTTGAAAAATTTATTTCTTATGTTGGTTATTTTAAGTCTTTAAAATAATGATCATCATTTTCTTATTCCATTTCTTCATTTTTTTAATATTATTTTTTTGAAAAAACTTTCCTTCATTTATTTTCGTCCTATGCACTCTGCTTCTTTATTTGTTGCTAGACATCTCTCTCTCTCTCTCCTCTACATCTTTTCATGAATTTCATCAATTTTTCATTCATCTTTTATCCATTCTTTTCAACAATCCACATCAGCATAAGTTTTTTTTTCTCTCTCTCTCTCTCTCTCTCTCTCTCTCTTTCTATCTCTCTCTTCCCTATCTTTCTTTCTCTTTCTTATATCCAACTCTCTCACTTTTATCTTTTCTTATTTCTTTTTTTCAAGCGCTTTCTTTCTTCTCTCTCTCTCTCTCTTTCTCTCTCTCTCTCTCTCTCTCTCTCTCTCTCTCCTTCAAACGTATATTACGTATTTACAATCGGAAAATTTTTTTTCATAAACGAACGCTATTTATCGAGACGCATAACGTTCATTTCCGGTTTTACCGTTTCCGCTATTTGATGATGATGATGAAGTAATAATAATAATAGTGACGTCATGGTGATGGTGGAGATGATATTGATGATGGCGGTGCCGATAGTATTATTTTATAATAATAATATTCATAATAAATAATATTAAAATAATTAATTAAGTTAATCGAATAAATAAATAATAATAATAAATTTAATAAAAAATAATTAAATAATAAATAAATAAAAAATTTATGCTAACCAAAAAAATGAAAATTGTGAAGAGGATAATTTTGTCGTTTTATTCATCAATGAAAATTCTGGAAGCCCTATATACAATGCCTAAGTCGGTATCATCATCATCATCGCCATCCTCATTTTCATCATCATCATCATCATCCTCTTCTTCATCATCATCGTCTTCATCATCATCACCACCCTAACCCTACACCATCACTATCATCATCCCCATCATCGTTTGTATCATCATCATCGTCTTTATCATCATCACCATCATCATCTTCATCATCATCTTTGGACAGTGGTTTCATTTCAATGTAGTAGTACTAACATGATATTTTCTGTCATAAGCCTAACTTAATTAGCATGTACGTCTACACGTATATCGTAATGCAATTAAGTGAAGAAAAACTATGTATGTATGTATGTGTGTGTGTGTATGTATGTATGTATGTATGTATGTATGTATGTATGTATGTATGTATGTATGTATGTATGTATGTATGTATGTATGTATGTATGTATGTATGTATGTATGTATGTATGTATGTATGTATGTATGTATGTGAGATTGTGTAAGTGTGAGATTGTGTATTTATGTGTCTGTTTGTGTGTGCGTTCAAAGACGATGACGATTATGATTGTGATTATTACAATTATGGTAAACATCGTGAATATAGAACTGATGGTAAAAATAATGATGATGACGACGACGACGACGATGATGACAAAAACTATTTTTAATCTTCAATCTAAAATTCATCCTTT